AGTCTGAGTATAACCTCGGAATGAGCTTTGCTTTTTCATAAAAAGTAATAATTAAAGCAACGATTATTGTCAATTTCAACTTGTACCAGTATATGTTACTTATATAAGACATATTTAGATAGATTAAAATTTAGTGTGGCTGTTTTCAAAGCAAGCTGAGGTAGCTAAATATGAAGTCACACCTTACAATACTGTAAGACATTCTTGTAAATTAGCTTACAATAATATTTCACAACATATAGTAGAAATTTGTATACTTAAAGAGTAACAGTCGTCATGCCGTGTCCTGTTTGATATGGGACTCATAGCGACGTATACAACGCTTGTAAAATACTTTGTTTATTTACATGAAATTCGAACATGCGCTGCGTGACGACCACCGTACTTTAAGACTGCATGTGCATTTACAAATAAAGTTCCAAATAAATTCATATTGATTCTGCGAAACCTTACTCTAGCACTAGCCTTAGCTGTCTTCTTAAAAAAACAGCTATGGAACAAAACAGCAACAACTATCAGTGTATTAGGTTACAATTGGTGATCATTTTATATTCTGTATTCACCATTGATTGCAAATTGTCTATATTTTTATTCATATTTTTTTTATTTGTTTTATATTTTAAGAATAGGATTTTTTTTTTAGTTTATAGTTTTTAAATTTCTTTTTGTAAGACCCTTTTTATCCTTTCCTAAGGATTTTATGCATCTAATAAATATTATTACTATTATTATTAAAAATTATTCTTTAAAATGGTTCATTTTCCAATTTGTTGAGGTATAATGTATAGTATGAGGAAATATAGAATGACTATGTTTTGTTCACATTTATATATTTATAGTTTGGGATGTTGTTATATGACTCAATATTCAATTTTTGTGAAAGCAGTGATTTTATGAATAGGAAGATTCTTAAGCGTGAAATTATAATAATTATAATCTGAAAATTAGGATTGATGACATGACATACAAACACTAATTCAGAGCAAGTGTTTGATTTATTTAGTATAGAAATGATATTATGTACATTGTATATAGCCTAGCTAAGTGCTAGGTGCAATCATAAACATCAACACTAATTCAAAACCAATCTGATTAAAATCTGATGTAGTGTATGGGCTTTAATTATTTTGGCTATAAACTTATTTTAATTTTTTATTTTATTATTTTACTTTGAATTTGATTTTGTGATTTTTTTTAATTCCGCCCTACCTACATCTGATCCGACACCTATGTAAGTCCTGTTCAAATCTCGCGTAAATAACAGACAATCACAGCCCCCCCTTTTATACAGGCTGTCGGTTGCTTACTTTTTCATTGTAGTGATACTCTATGGGCAATCTTTCTGTACAATACATTATATTTTGCCCACTTGAATAAACCATTAATAGAAAATTGCTAGTATGTTTTTATTTACAAAAGAAATTCCACAGCATTTTACAATTTTTGTCATTACATTGAATATTTTTTTCACTTCCAACAAATGTGTACACTTCCAGATACATCTTCGCCAGCCAAGGTTCGTTCATTCAGTCATCACTTCAATTTTACATCAAACACTGAGCATAATTATCTAGAATGGAAGCAAAAAAATTAGTAAATCGTAATGATTAGAACACTGTAAATAGTTAAAGTAAACAATGCAAACTGATTTCAAATTGTATAACACCGGCCCACGACATCGCTGCAGAAAATTGGAGCAAAAAAATATTTCCTGATCAATTGCGATGTGTTCCAAATAAAAAATATTTTATTCCAGTCCAAATCAGCTCAATTAAATTGATAAAAAGTTATTGTATAATGTACAAAATGTTGATACAATTTGATGAATATTTACAGCTACGGCTTCAATACCGTAGACGATTTTGGCCCGATCGTCAACAAAACATCACCCTTCTCCAGGGCAAGCGACTGGAAAAAGACACCAGTGTTCAGTCGAACCGGTGGAAACAAAAAGAATAACTACGCAAAATAACTATCTAAACTCGAACCATTCAAGCCACAATATTAACATAAAAATGACTTTAGTTGCATTTGACAATGATAAACTTACCGAAAAGCAGTGTTATTCTCGGTCGCTAACGTCGGTATAATTTTATTTGAGTGTGTTTGCCACCTGACTCTACCCGGTGACGTCATCATGTGCGCTATAGAAGGAGGTCTGTGATTCGTTGACTAAAATCGTTGATGGTGGGTCTCATTGAAATCTTGTTACATAGGCATTGGGTCAGATGTATGTAGGGCGGAATTAAAAAAAATCAAAGTAAAATAATAATAAAATAAAAAGGCATTAATAACAAAAGTAATACAAAATAAAATTAAAATAAGTTTATAGCTAAAATAATTAAAGCCCGTACACTACATCAGATTTTAATCAGATTGATTCAAAACAAACCTTTGAGTTAGTAGAAACAAATCATTGTTAATGACACAGTCCCTGTTGTAATGTTATTTATGCCTTAGAAGATGTATTAAGGCCAAAAAGCAAAATGTCTGCATGCTAGGTTTGTCATATTCAATCATAAATTGTCATGGACATGCAAATTACTGGCCATGTGACTAGTTATTGTTTCTGAATGATTTTGCAGTGTATGGTCCATAATTGAGAGTGAAAACATCAGATTTAATAAATGACTGTTTTAAATTTGCAGTCTATAATACCACATGGTCAACAATTTTATAGGATATATTATTTATGCTATTTTGGTTTCCAAACTCAAGTAAAGTTCACGTCTCCTGTATGGTATACCCACATTTGTAACACTTGAATTGAGTTGAGCATAACATTTGAACTGTGAAAATAACAAGAGTTGTGTTAAATTATTTGGTACAAATAAAAAACTCATTAAAATATCCATAAAATAAGGCATTGATATATTGTGCAGTTTATTGCTCTAGCAGTATCCATGTTTTATTCAAAGTGAAGATACATACGTTACCGATAGTTACTGATAGTTTGACTTTATAGTTTGATTTATGAGTTGGCAGTTTACATCAGAGTACATGATTTCTATATTAATATCTCAAATTATACAATAGACATATAATTGTTAGTGAGTTTTGAGTTTTTTTTTATATTAAGGGTAAATAATGACAGTACTAAATCTCCTCTTGTTAAATCTTCTACTAACACTAATGGTCATTAGGGACGACCTCAAAAGATCGATGTCGGATAAAAAACTTATTTGCTTTAGTTTGGGGGGGGTTGACCTCAAAAAGTTTTCATCCTACAAAAACGATTTTATTTTTCAATGAAGTCAAACACATTTCGGAGTATTTGTAGTTTCGTTTCTTTTCTATCCAATCATGGACAAAAATAACAGAAAATGAAAAAAACACACCCAAGACGAGAAAATGGTTTGGTTCGAGTGTAAATATGTGTGTCAAATGAAGTCAATTTCAGGGCATGGACCTAGAACATGCATAAAACCCAGAAAAGTAGTTTGCCCATGCGTATATTCCCCTTCATTATTTACTCTTGAATGACTGAAGGTTTGGTGGCTGGGTTTTTTGGGCATGAGTTGGTAAGACGCCTTGATCAATATTTATCATTTAAGTTTCAGTGGGAGAGGGGGGGGGGACAAAAGGAATTAAGTTTTTTATCCTACATTGAACTTTTGATGTTGTCCCTTAGTGGTAACCAAGTCAGATCAGTCATATGCCCATTATTGCACAGGGGTTACCTAAAGAGAAGCCAGGGAAAGCAAATGGCAAAGTTTTTAACAAAATCTTGGCAGTAATCCAGCAATGCATATGAATTCTAATTGATCATAAAGAGTCTGTCTGTTTTCATGTAAGTCCTTGATTACTCATGACATCTAAATGTTTGTCTTTATTTGCATAAACATCTGTTTGATTTTATGGTCAATTTCATATAATCTTTAAAATTTTTGAGCCAAAATTGAAGTTTTATCCATGAGGTAGAAATAACAGAAATGCATTATTAGAGTAATCCTTCCAAATTACACAGTAATGAAAGAAAAATATCTTAAAATGGTGTCAACTCATAAAAGGTGAATTTACCATAATAATGGTTTTATAATGGTGTCAAAGGAATGGCACATATATATGGAAGAGAGAGAAGATGTCCTCAAATAGAAAACTGAACTGCGCATTGTAAAATGATTTAGTAAAAAATTATGTGATTTATTGATGTGAGTTGCTACAATTTGAATCAATATTTTTTGTGCATTTAAATTGAACATAATTTGTATTTTATTCCAGGGTTGTGACATTTGGAAGTCAGAGGTACAGTAAATGGAAATCCAGAAGAAACAGTTCTCCTGTTCTCATAAGTAGTGATGATTTATCCTATGGTAGTATTGATGAAGAAAGCGGTAACTTTGATCATTGTCATAGAAACAATGTACAAAACATGACGGATTCCAAAGCCAGACGAAAACTTATTGCCGCCAGCATATTGTGTTTGTTATTCATGGCTGGTGAGGTTATAGGTGAGTAATAGTCTATGGCAGTATTCCTTGTCTCTGTAAACAAGTTGTTGATTTTACATATCATGATATATAGGTGTTTATTTTACATATGATATACAAGTGTTTATTTTACATGATATACAGGTGTTTATTTTACATATGATATACAGGGGTTTATTTTAAATATGATATATAGGTGTTTATTTTACATATGATATACAGGTGTTTATTTTACATATGATATACAGGGGTTTATTTTACATATGATATACAAGTGTTTATTTTACATGATATACAGGTGTTTATTTGACATATGATATACAGGGGTTTATTTTGAATATGATATATAGGTGTTTATTTTACATATGATATACAGGTGTTTATTTTACATATGATATACAGGGGTTTATTTTACATATGATATACAAGTGTTTATTTTACATGATATACAGGTGTTTATTTGACATATGATATACAGGGGTTTATTTTGAATATGATATATAGGTGTTTATTTTACATATGATATACAGGTGTTTATTTTACATATGATATATAGGTGTTTATTTTACATATGATATACAGGTGTTTATTTTACATGATATACAGGTGTTTATTTGACATATGATATACAGGGGTTTATTTTGAATATGATATATAGATGTTTATTTTACATATGATATACAGGGGTTTATTTTACATATGACATACATGTGTTTACAGGTGATTTCATGATATAAATACACAGGTAGTTATTCATGTTTATATGTTCATCTTTTACAGGTGGTTACTTGTCTGGTAGTCTAGCTATACTTACAGATGCTGCTCACATGTTAACAGATTTTGCCAGTTTTTGTATCAGTTTATTTTCGATCTGGGTGTCTTCAAGACCAGCAACAAAAACCATGAATTTTGGTTGGCATCGTGCAGGTAGGAATAATAAAAAGCAATTTTAAGGGTCAATTAAAATCATAGGGGGTAGCTGGAAGAGTTTTTGTGAAAAAAATTGATAGCTGGAAACTGAGAAAAGGAAATTGCATGCAAGGTATTGCAAAGAACGAGATGATGGCCCATTCAAGAAAAATAAAAATGTACAAGACTCGATGAAAAAAAAATGCACCGGCCACAATTTCAGGCACCTGTATGATTTCAAATGGCTGACCCTTAAGGCTAAACAAATATAGAAGATTCATTTCAAACTAATGCAAACAACTACCGGGGTATATTTTTTTTTGCCTAATATAACTGTTAATATTATGTGCACATTTGAATGCCAAAATTACACATTTTATATATTTTTTTCAAAATTTCTTTTATATTTTTGGACCAAATATTTAATATTTTCAATTGGCTACTCTTTTTGATCAAAATTTCCATTAAAATTGGAAAACAAATTATATACTAGATTATTTATATCATGTGTTTTGTTTCCAAACAAATTTAGATGATTTGTTAATATTCTGAAAAATTAAATATTGATTGACCTTTTTTATATATTAACAGCTTTTTTGAAATTAGGTTGGATGCCATTTTAAATGGATGTAATGTTTATGGTCACTCATAGTACAAATAAGTTCATACCTCTGGTATGAAACATTTTCTTGAAAAGCGGAAGCAAAACTTTAATTTTCATCTACTTCATCTAGCTAATAAATGTTCTTTGTGTCCTTGTAATAGTGAAATACTACACTAATAAGAACGAGTAATTATTTCCATGCAGTTATCATTATCAGACATACTCTTATAAGATAAGGAATCCCTGGAGCACATGTTTATAAAGCAAAAAATATTTGTTCCATCTCTTTTTACTGAAATAGTCCTGTCAAGGTTCACATCCATAATTAATGTAATTTGATGAATTAATATTTGGCACATATAGCAGAGAGTTTGTTGTATTATTTTCAGTCACTGAATAGTGACTTAATTGTTGACGCCCACGACTAATGACATTTTGTATATTCCACAAATTTGTTGTTGCTATTCACCAGAAATCCATATTTAAAATGGATTTAGTGACTGTATTGTGGAAGTACAGAGGATAATAATGTGACTGTACTATCATTTGTAAATGAAGTATAATTGGGGGGGGGGGGGCATTTCTGTCCTTGAGTTTCATCTGGAACATTTGAGATATCTAACAAATTTGGTTGATTCAGGAGACCATAAGAGGGTATTTAGACTTTTAACTTGTTAATTCATGAGCTGATGCAATGTCTCATGAAGTGTTTGTTTTTACTTCACAATCGGTACTTTATAATAATAATAATAACAAATTTATTCAACATAAAAGTCTATTACAGGGAGCAATTTCACGTAAAACAAAAATTAAAATGATAGTTCACTCAACTAAAATTACAAAATAGCACATTAAATACATGTTTAATTATAAAAGGAAAAAAAAACATGGTAACAAAATGTAATGGCTGTAAAACAAAACAAAACGGTAATACAAGTTTACTCCACCAAAATCACGAATAAAACCTTGAATACATGTAAAAAATGAAAGAAAAAACATGTAAATAAGTATAAGAATAAAACTACTAAGCTACTAAATATGCCATAAAAAAATTACGTTAAAACCACCTGCAGACTTATTTGATGGAGTTGCTATGTTCCATCTCTCAAGTTCATATTTGTATGTATGAATTGTGCTATTTCAAATTCCTGCAAAGCTTGTCTTAATTATTCTAAATTTTTCCTTTTCATTCATTATGTTGCAAGAAAAATTTACTCCGACACCTTCACATCAGGCACACAATTGATGATAGTGAACAGCAAAGTTATTCTTGACCAACTCTGCAATAGCTGAAACTATCAAACTTTTTCTCTAATTTTTATTTTTAATAAAACATTTCTAATATCATTAGTAACAGCCATCACCAAAATGTGAACACTGAAAGCATATACAAAATACTGTAAAATACTTTATTTTCGCTTCAAATTAATTTTCGCTGAAGGAATAATTCAGTGAAAATAAAATCCAGCGAATATACCTTTTTTCCTATATTTTACATTCAACTCATCAAAAATCAGTGATAATAAATTCCATACAAAACACCCAAAAAGTCTTTTCAGCGAAAATTAATTCCAGCTAAAAAAAAAGTATTTTACAGTATACCAAATCACTTGCAATTGGAAAAAAATGGCCACAGTGTTGAGCTCTCGTCTCCAGAGGGCGTCATCTAATAAAATCCAATTTTTTTTAGTGAACTTCAGGAATAACAGTACAATATGACAACTCTATCAGGGAGCCTTGGCAAAATGTCAAATACTTCATTGTCTTGATTATACTAAACCCCTTTCTGAAAGCCTATCACTGAAAAAAAATATTTCCCATAATAGTGTTTGTCATACATCTTAATTTTCCCTGGCTCCATTGTGTGACCATGCAATTTCAACTACTCAGTTGAACCGTTAGTTTTCACATCACATTTCATGTGACATTAGCATTGTGTAGTGTCATTTAAAATTTACCATGCAATTGTGCTAAGAAAATATTTCCATAAGTTTTGGTAATTTGTATTTAAACCCCAAACACATTTTCAAAATCACAGCTATTGTGGCTTTCACTGATAGGTTAATTGATCTGTTTCAGAAATACTGGGGGCTATGGTATCTGTTTTACTTATTTGGATTGTTACTGGAGTGTTGGTATACATTGCTATTCATAGAATCATGGCGAAAGATTTTGAAATTGATGCTAAAATAATGTTAATCACTGCTGGATGTGGCTTCTGTGTTAATCTTGTGTAAGTATACAGTCTTTGATATATTAAACTGTTATGGATTACATCTATGTGCCATGGAAAAAGAGATTGTCTGTGGTCAACATTTTGGGTTTGCCTGTTTGAACAGTAAATATGGGAAGGTATATCATGTTCATATTTTATGTCAGTTCCAGATACAAATCATGTTAAGATATGCTTTATGTCCAAATAAAACCATCTATTTGTGTATCCTGCACCCGACCTTCTTACCTGCATGCCATACCATATT